CTAAACTACAGAAATAAAAACCTTCATGCAAGTGACACCTCCAAGATTCCAGAATAGGGTTCCCCAGCTTTAGTACCCCTAACAGAAAGACCATTGAGATACTGTCTATAGACAAGAGTGGCTTTGTGAAAAATTCTAAAACCTGGGAATGAGGCTGAAGCATTCCACAGAAACTGAAAAACGTCTCATTAAAAGTATAAGAGAAGTGGTTATATTCTGACTGCAGCGCCCCTTTCTGAGGCTGATGTGGCACTAAACCAAGAGAGTTTCCCTGAGCTTGCAGTTTCCCCATGGGGAAGATGCGAGTTCAAGATGGACATCCAACTTCCAGAAATCTTTGAAGCTTAATGAGAGACTCACCTCTGCTCTTCTCACAGGGGAATTGGCAGGGCTAGACCACCTGGGGCAAGCCAAAAACAAAGAAGGGAGACAGGGCTCACAGCAATCAGTACACAGATGCTGGTGATAGTACTACATCCTTGCGGATATCATCATCACTCAACCAAGGTGGGCACTGCCCACCCATGGAGCCAAACCAATGGCACTGTCTGGACAAGGAACATGGTCCACAGTTTTAGCTGCCTTGGGTCCCCAGACAGTAGTCAGATCTTATCATGGAGCCTAATCTACAGTCAAGTTGGTGATGCTTCCTAATTGTGAAACACATCCTGTAGCTCTGCCTGACAAACAAGCCCAAATAGGGACCCCCTGCCCAGCCATAGAGACCAGATATATTTCACCATGGAAGGGAATCAAGTCAGTGACCCTGCTCAATTGTAGGGCAAACCTGTGGTCCTGCCTGACCAGGAATTCAGGCCAGCAAACCCATCTGCCATGGAGCCCAGTCCATGGTCCTACCCAACTATAAAGTTCAGCTTAAGCCTCCACCTGACCAGTACATCCAGACTATAGTCCTGCTTGATTGTGGAGCATAGCTTGTGGCCCTGGGGAGCAGGGAGCCCAGCCAGCAACTCCACCCAATGTCAGATAACAGGCTGTAGCCCCAGCCAACTGTAGGGCATAGTCTTCAGATTCTCACAACCTGGAAGCCCAGTAGTGGTCCTAACCACTCGCAGAGCACAACCAGCGCTTATGCATGGACAGGAAATCCACCCAGTGATTCTGTTCAACTGTGGAACACAACCTGTGACCCCACCCAATCTTACAGGCCAGTCTGCATCTCCACCTTAATGTGAAGGCCAGCCTAGAGCATTGCCTGGAAAGAAAGGAAAGAATATGGCCATGACCCAGGAAGATCGTAGAGCCCAGCCTAAATTCCTACCTACTCCTGGCTCTATCAAGCAGTACTGCCTAGCCAGGGAGCACAGTATGTGCCTCTTTGCCCAATCAGAGGCAAATATGGAGCCCAGCTAGTGTTCCCATATGTTCAGGAAGCCAAACCAGCAGATCAGTTTGGCCACAGAATCTGGTCAGCAGACCCACTGATTTCAGAGCCCAGATAAACGGCTCCATCCGGCCTGAGAGAACACACAGAAGTCTCACACAACCAGAGGCCCTGAAGGCAAGCCCCACTTTTCTGCGGATGCTATCAGCTGACCTATCTAAAACCTCAATCTGGACTGACTGGTGAAGGCCTTTTCCTGTTCAAGTTAACCTGTAAAAGCTAGAAGAGGTGACTTCCTTCTCAAATGCAGACACCAGTGGAAGGATTCAAGGATCCAAAAGAGTCATGGGAATATGATATCACCAAAGAAAACTAATAAAGTTCTAATAATTTACCTTAAAGAAAAGGACATCTGTGAAGTGACTGTCAAATAATTCAGAATAATCCTTTTAAGAAGTTCAGTGAACTTCAAGAAAACACAGGTAGACAAGTAAATGAAATTGGAAAAACAATGTATGAACAAAACTAGTTCAATAAAGACATAGAAACCATTAAAATGAACAGAAATTCTAGAGCTGAAGAATGCTATGAATGAAGTAAAAACTTTTATAAAAAGCTTCAACTGCAGGCCAAATTGAGGGAAGAAAGGATCAGTAAATGTGAAGACAAGTCATTTAAAACTATCCAGACAGGAAGTCCTAATATCTAGGATCTACAAGAAGCTCAAATGTGCTGAAAGGAAAAAAAAAAAAAAAACAACAAAAAACAGCCACATTAAAAAGTGGACAAAAGACATGAATAGATACTTCTTAAAAGAAGATATACAGGTAACCAACAGACACATGAAAAAGTGCTCAGCCTCATTCATCATCAGAGAAATGCAAATCAAAACCACATTGAGATATCACTTAACCTCAGTAAGAATGACCGTCATTAATAAAACAAACAACAACAGATGTTGGTGAGGATGTGGAGAGAAAGGAATGCTTCTACACTGTTGGTGGGAATGCAAGCTAGTGAAACCTCTTTGAAAGACAGTGTGGTGATTTCTGAAAGAACTAGAAATTGGCCTTCCATATACCCAGCAATTTTCCTATTGGGAATATACCCAGAGGAACTCAAATCATTCTGCACATATATGTTTGTTGCACGCTGTTCACAATAGCAAAAACATGGAACCAACCATGCTGCCCATTGAAGTTGGACTGGATAAAAAAATGTGGTACATATACACAATGGAATATTATGCAGCCATAAAGAATGACAACCATATGGACTTCACAGCAACTTGGATGGATTTAGAGTCGATCATACTCAGTAATCTATCACAGAAACAAAGAAGAGAGTACCATATGTTCTCATTCATAAGTGGATCTTGAGCAATTATAATACTATAAAAAGGGATTGACAGTAGTAGGAAACTGTCAGGGGAGGAGGTTTGGGATTGGCAGTTGAGGAAAACTGCCAGGGGAGAGAGGGACACACCTCATCAACAAGGGTACCTGCATAATAAACATTTGTATACCTAACCCTGAATTGTACCCTGCATCTTTATAATAAAAAAAAGGAAAAAAGAAAATAAAATTATCCAGTCAGAAAAGCACACACAGAAAAAAAAAAAGAATTACAAAGAGTGGAGAAACCTTATGGGATTTATGGGACAGAATTAAGTGGAACAATATATGCATTTTGAGAATTATAGAAAGAGAAGAGAGAATGACGGCGCAAAAAGTCTATTTATAGAAATAACAAGCTGGGTGTGTTGGCTCATGTCCATAATCCTAGCACCTGGGGAGGTTGAGGTAGGAGTATTGCTTGAACCCAGAAGTTTGAGACCAGCCTAGGAGGCATAGGGAGACCTCATCTCCACAAAAAAATTTTAAAAATAGGTAGGCAGGTTTGGTGGTGCAGCGACATGGTAGGCTGAGGCAGAAGGATCACCTGAGCATAGGAGGTTGAGGCTGTGGTGAGCCATGATTGTGTCATTGCACTCCAGCCTGGGCGACAGAGTGAGATTCTAACTCAAAATGATGATGATGACAATGACGACAATGATGATGATCGTAGCAACAACAACAACAACAACAACAACTGATAACTTTCCACATACGGGGAGGTAAATAGTCATCCAGACTTATGAAGGCCGCGTGTCACCAATAGGCTGAACCTGGAATGTTATACACTGAACAGATTATAATTAAATTGTCAAAAGTCAAAAACAAAGAGAATTTTGAAAGCAGCAAAGGAAAAATGACACATCATATACAATGGAACATTGATAAGATTATCAGTGGATTTCTCAGCAGAACTCTTGCAGGCCAGGAGAAAATGGGATCATATAGTCAAAATAATGAAAGAAAAAACTACCCATCAAGAAGACTATACTTGTCCTTTGTAAATGAAGGAGAAATAAAGACTTCCCAAAGAAACAAAAGCTGAAGGAGTTCATCACCACCATACCTTCGTTAATAACATAAAAGCATATGAATTGTATAAAACTTACTGGTAATATTGGGTGCGGTGGATCATTCCTGTAATCCTATCACTTTGGCAGGCCAAGACAGGAGAATCGCTTGACACCAGGAGTCTGAGACCAGGCTGGGCAACATAGTGACATCCCATCTCCAAAACAACAACAACAACAACAACAACAACAAAAAACACACACTGGTAAAGTCAAATATATAGTGAAAGTCAGAACTCTCTGATTTTGTTATGGTGGTGCGTAACTCGTTTTAAATCTAGTAGAAAAGTTTAAAAAAAAGTTTTTGAATAACTGTAATCAAAATAATTTGCTATTGGATACACAATACATAAAATATATAAGTTGTAACATCAATAACATAAATGTTAGAGTGAGGTAAAAACAGAGTTTTTATATGCAATTGAATTTAAATTGTTAGCAGCTTAAAATAAGATCTTTTTTTCGAGTAGGAATCTCACTCTGTTGCCCAGGTGGGAGTGCAGTCACACGCTCACAGCTAGTGCAGCCTTGACCTGCTGGGCTCAGGTGATCCTTCCACCTTATCCTTCCAAGTAGCTGGAGGCACAGGTGTGCACTAGCACACCTGGCTAATTTTTTGATTTATTGTAGAGTCGAGGTCTCACCAAGTTGCCCAGGTTGGTCTTGAACCCCTAAGCCCAGGCAATACTCTCACCTTAGCAATTAACAAAAGAAGACAGCAAGACTGAAAGAAGAGAACAAAGAAATTATAAAACAGTCAGAAACCAATGAACAAAATGGCAAAAGTAAATCCTTAACCATCAATAATTACTTTTAATAAAAATGAATTTGATTTTCTGATCAAAAGACACATGACATCTGAATAGATTAAAAATTAAGAATCAACCATATGCTGCCTACAAAATCTCACTCTAGCTTTAGGGGTATACATAGTCTGAAGTGAATAGATAGAACAAGTTGTTCCTTGCAAATAATAGTCAAACGTGAGCAGTGGTGGCTATACTTAAATCATAAAATAAACTTTAAGTCAAAAACTGTCACAAGAGACAAAGTTGTTACATAATGATAAAGAGGCTATGACAATTTACAATTATCATGCATCCAACGTCAAGCATCTAAATATATAAAGTGAATACTAACAGAACCAAAAGGATAAACAGCCACACTATAATATTAAAATTTTTATGCTTCAGTGACACTTTTCCTTGCTTTAATATTTGTTGTCTTTTTCTGCTTTTGAAATGAGCTCTCGATTTCAAAATATCAAACTACACTTAAAAGAGGGTGTAAAAAAAGCCAGTCACTGGCACAGCATGGAGAAGCCTATAAGTAAGGACTGACAGCAGCAGCAGGTGGCAAGAGGTGGAAGGTGATTGAAGCAGTGGTTACAAATGTTTACGGGAAGCTAAAACTATCCAATAGGTTGTGCTCTCATGTTAGCACAGGTTAGACTAGTCAATACCTTGGTGGGTGGCCTCAGTGTACTTGGGTTCAGATTCTACACAGCAATACAATTTCTTCCTGTTAAGAGTTCTTGGCTTGCACCGATCACAGAGTGACTGCAGGGTGATGGACCAGTCTATTAGTTTTTCAAAATGCTGTTGTAGACCTGACAGATGTACTGAGAGACTTCAGGAGCTCTGCACTTCAGTGACACCATATGATTAGGGTTTCCTGGCTGGATATGTAACTCTGCCAAAATCCAAATGCCATCAGTGAGCTTCAAGGATTGGTATAGCATGTCCTGTCCTTCCACATTCCTCTTGGCAATAGCATAAACATTACTTTTCTGCAACTTGCTGGAAACAGTGCCAGCATTTAAATGACATCCCTTCATCTGGAGCTGAAGTTTATTTTCACTGGGACTATCCTTCCACGTCGCGAGGAAGACCTGACACTCCATTTTGCCATTTTCTACGAAAAGCACGTTGAGTGGGATGAGGCAGCTAAAGTCGAAGACATCAATATTGTTTTTCACAGCCACCTGCAGGTTATTCAGAGGCCCATCTTCATGACTGGGCCCAAAGTGTTGACAGGCAAGGAGACATCAGTGCTCTGGTTTGGCATCAGTGGTGTAGAGATGGCCAGAGGAGTGCTGGGGATGACACCAAAGCTATTCTTGTTAAACTGGATTGCAAAATCTGTCGTGTGCTGCAGAGCTTTATTAGCGAAGTTCATTTCTGTATAGATGTGCCCTTGGCGGTGAGTAAGTGTTCCTGAAATTTCCAACCCTTTAGCCTTTACTGCAGGTAACCAGACAGCCTTAGGAGCCACATATCCACCAGATGCCATGCCTATTCCTGGGGAGAGTACAAACAGTCATTCAGACCACTACTGTCCACAGCAGGTGTAGGTGAAGGAGCAAAGACTGCAGGCACAGACGACGGGTTAAAGGACTGTCCCACCAGACTATCTATCCTCCTCCCAAGAGATCCACTGCTCCCATCTGCATGGAGGATACCTGTGGCCCATTGACTGGAGGACTGAGGTCAAGGTTTAAAAGATCTCCTAGAAGATCGCCTTGAGAGGGATAACCCGAAGCTGTTCCAGGTTGGTTGCAGTGGTGGTGCCAACAGGGCTGTCACCTGCATCAGTGGTCCCATGATGGACTGGCAAGTGTTTGCAATGGATTCCATAACTCCCTTCCACAAAAGCATTGAGAGGCTTATGATACACAGAGACCAAAGAACCAATGTGGCAGATGAGCTCATCCAGCAGAGTTGGTTCAATAAGGTCTTGTTTCCTTAGAAATCAGTGGCTTCTCAGACAAGACTACTTCTTTGGTCATAACAGGGTCAGTTGAGAGAAGGCGCCAATTAATATAGCCCCGGTCTTGAAGGTCAGGATTATCAGAATCCTGTGTTGCCAAACTCAAAACGTGTTGGACCAGCTCCTGTATTTCTGATGGTTTCTTGAGAAACAGCTTCACTATGGCAGTAAGCAGAGTGAGCTGCACGTGAGTGCTTTCATCATGAAAACCTTCCAGGAAGCTCTCTAGTAACTCATCTGCATTCTCAACTCTTTCACCATATTCTCCCACAATCCAAATCATAGCCGCTCAAGCATCTGGCTCATCCAGCGCGTCCAAGTTCTCACATGGAGTGACAATGACACTTTCATACTTGGGGTATTTCTGGAAGATGTCCCTGGTGACAACTGCTTCTTGGACCACATAATTTACTTTGGTCTGGATTAGATCAAGCAATGTGCTTACATAATGCTCTGCAGATTGCTCCACCTTGATGGCACACCGTCCAATGGCCCTCACAGCTTTGCAAACAAAGTCAATATCCACCTCTGAGGCATATTCCTTCAGTTCTGCCAGAACCTGAGCAATGTTGGCTTGAGATGCCAAACGAATCATGATGTCCAACTTCTCTAGTTTAACATAGATGGGATCATTTTCTTCACAAAGAAGACTTTGATTTCCTGCTTCAAGATTTCAGACCTTTTCTAGACAACTAGGCTGATGTTCCTCAGGGCAACATACTGAACTTCTGGCTCTTCAGAGAGCAAAGTGACAGGTGGAGGGGCTAGCTTCTTCAGCAGCATATTGTAGTAGTCAGAGTCCTTGGGTAACAACTCTGGAAATTTCATTAGGACTTTCACCGCTGAAAGCACCACCGCTGAGTTGGCATGAGGCAGCCAGGGAATTACCCACTCTGAATCTCCAGGTCATCTTTAGGGTTGTAATTAGATGAGCAGTCCAGTATGAAAATCTGGCCCCATTCAGTGTGCTCATTCAGGGCTGTCAGCAGCTTATTAATGTTCTGTGGATTCAGATCAAGTAAGTTACTGTTTGGGTGAGACTCACTGATTTCAGATAATGCTGCTACAGCATTAGCCACCAACATTGGATTTGAATCTGTCATGAGATCCTGTAGAGAATACAGAAATCCCTAATCAAAAGCCTCCCAACAAAGAAAAGCCCAGAACCTGAAGTCTTCATTGCTGAATTCCACCAAACATTTAGAACTCTTGCGAAAAATTTAAGTGGAGATATCACTTCCAAACTCATTTTAAGAGGCTGATGTTATGCTGATACCAAAGCCAGACAAAGAAATTACAAGAAAAGAGAATTACAGCAATACATTTGATGACCATAAATGCAAAAATCCTTAAACTCATATTCAAATCATATTCAAAAACACATTAAAAGTTCATTTACCATGATCAAATGGAATTTTTCCCTGGGATGTAAGGATGGTTCCAATCCAGTCAATAAATATGAGGCACCACATAACAGAATGAAGAATAAAAATCATATAATCAACTCAATTAATGCAGAAAAAGCATTTGATGAAATTCAAAACTCAATAATTAGGCATAGAAGGTATGTATCTCAACCTAATAAATGACAAAAATGGTAAGCCCACAGCAAACATCCTCAATGGTGAGAAACTGAAAGCTTTTCCTCTAAGATCAGGAAAAAGATAAAGTTTCCTACTCTTGTCGCTTCTATTCAACATAGTACTGGAAGACCTTGTCAGAATAATTAGGAAAAATAATGTCATTCAATTCAGAGAGGAAGAAGCAAAATTATCTCTGTCTGCGATTACATGAATATAGAAAATTTTAAGGACTCAACCAAAAAACTGTTCGAATCAATAAATAAACTCAGTAAAGTTGCAGGATACAAAATCCACATTAAAAAGTCAGTTGCATTTTTATACACTAACAGTGAAACTGTCTGAAAAAATTTATCTAGAAAGTAAAGAGACAGCCCATGGAAAGAGAAGAAATATTTGCAACTATGCATCTGACAAAGGCCTAACATCCAGAAAATACAAGGAACTCAAATGGATTGACAGGAAAAAAACAAACGAACAACCTCAGTAAAAGTGGGCAAAGAATATGAACAGACGCTTCTCAAAGGAAGACATTCAAGTATGCAACACACATATGACAAAATGCTCAGAGAAATGTAAATCAAATCTATAGCGAGATACCACCTAACACTAGTAAGAATGCTATCATTAAAAAGTAAAAAAACCAACTAAACAAACAAACAGAAAAAGCAAGTGGTGGCACGGCTACAGAGAAAAAGGAACACTTCTACACTGTTTGTGGATATGTAAGCCAGTTCAAGGTTTGTGGAAAACCGTGTGGTGATTTCTCAAATAACTGAAAATTGACTTCCATACAATTCAGCAATCCCTCTTCTGGGAATATACCTAGAAGAACATAAATCTCTCTACCAAAAAGACACCTGAACATGTATATTCAATGCAGCACTGTTCATGATAGCAAAAACATGGAACCAACACAGATGCCCATAGAAAGTGTACTAGATAAAGAAAATGTGGTACTTATATATGATGGAATATTATGCAGCCAAAAAGAAGAACAAAATTATGCCTTTACAGCAACATGAATGCAGCTGGAGATTATCATACTAATGAATTATCACAGAAATAAAGACCTGAATGACACATTTTCTCACTCATAAGCACTGATCACTGGTCGCATAAGCAAGGATGGGATTGGCAGATGCTGGACACGACTGGAGGCGGGAAGGAGAGAAGGGTGATGGGAAGCACATGGCAACATACTGGGTACCAGTTCTACTATCAGGGGGAGGGAGGACCCATTAGAAGCCCAAGTTTCAACAGCATGCAACTTATTTATGTTGTAAATCCTCACTTCTACCCCACAATTCTAAAACATAAATAATAATAATAACAAAAATTTTAATCTCATTTACAATAATACCAAAACAGTAAAATAATTGGGAATAAATTTTAACCAAGGAGGTGAAAGACCTGTATACTAAAAACTATAAATCATTAATGAAATGAATAAAGTAGGCACAAATAAATGGAAATATAGTCCATGCTCATGCATCAGAATAATTAACATTATTAAAATGTCTGTACTACCCAAGGCAATTTATTCATGCAGTGCAATTCCAATCAAGATTCCAATGGTGTCTTTTACAGGAAAAAAATCCAAAAATTCATATTGAATTGCAAAAGATTCTAAATAGCCAAAGCATTCCTGAGTAAGAAGAACAAAGTTGTATGAATCACATTTCCTGGTTTCAAATTATATTACAAAGCTATAGTACAAAACAATATTTTACTGGCATAAACACATACACACAGAAAACAGAATCAAGAGCCCAGAAATAAATACATGCATGTTCAACTAATATTTGACAAAGTCACCAAGAGTACACAATATGAATGGTTATTCTTTTCAATAAGTGATGCTGGGAAAACTGAAATGAATGAAAAAATGAAATTTACCTGTATGATGTGCACTTGTATACCTGTCCCGAATTGTACCCCACATCTAAAATAAATATATAAATATTTAAAATATAATAAATAAACAAACATTTAAAATATAATAAATAAGTGAAAACATGAAATTGGACCTATATTTTACACCACTCACAAAAGTTAATTAGAAATGGACTCATGACATAAATGTAAGTGCTAAAGCCACAGAACTCCTAGAAGAAAAAAAATAATAAGAAAAACACTGCTTGACATTAGTCTTGGCAATAATTTTTTGAATATGATGCTAGAAGTACAGTGACAAAAACAAAAAATAAACAAGTGGGCTAATTGAAAAAGCTTCTACACAGCAATTAAAACAACAAACAAAATAATAAAGCCACCTATGGTATAGGAGAAAACATTTGTAAATCATATATCTGATAAGCGATTAATATCCAAAATATATCAGATATTCATCCAACTCAATAACAGGAAAATTCAAATAATCCAGTTTTAAAATGAGCAAAGACTTGAATAGACCGTTTTTTTCAAAGAAAGCATAAAGATGGTCAACATGTATATGAAAAAAGTGCTCAACATCACTAATCATCAGGAAAATGCAAATCAAAACCACAAAAAGATACCACCTCAGATCTATTAGGATGACTATCACTAAAAAATAAATAGGTAATAAGTATTGACGAGGACATGGAGTAAAGGGAACTCTTACATACCGTTTGTGGGAGTGTACTGGTACAATCCCTATAGAAAACAGTATGGAGGGTTCTAAAACATTAAACTACAGTATCATTCCCTTCTGAGTATATATCTGAAAGAAAATCATATCTTGAAGAAATATCTGTACTCGTGTGTTCATTGTAGCATTATTCACAATAGCCAAGCCATAGAAACAAATTATGTGTCAATCAAGGAGAAATGGATAAACAAAGCTGATGCATATCTCTGTGTGTGTGTGTGTGTGTGTGTGTGTGTGTGTGTGTGCGCACAACATAGCACCAAGAAGACAGAAATGCTGCCATTTACCACAACATCAATGAAACTTGAAGGCATTATGCTCAGTTGAAATAAGTCAGATAGAGAAAGACAAATACTGTATGATCTCACTTGTATGTAGATTCTAGAAATGTTGAACACATGAAAACCGAGTGCAGTGGTGGTTGCTAGGGGTTCAGGGATGGGAAAAATGGGGAGATGTTGGTCAAGGTGTACAAACTTCTTAGTATAAGATGACTAAGTTCTGAGGATCTAATGTTCCATATAGTAACTATAGTTAATACTACAGTATTGTATACTTGCAATTTGCTAAGAGAGTAGACTTTAAGTGTTCTAACAGCAACAACAACAAAAACTATGTGAGGTGATGAATTAGTTAACTAACATGAATGTGGCCATGATTTTACAATATATGTATATTGATGTGTCATGTTGTACATCTTTAATGTGTGCAGTTTTGTCAATTATATCCTGGTGAAGCTGAAAACAATAAATAAAAATAATTTTAAAATAAAGCCAGAAAAAGTCCTAAAAAAACCCCAATGCAGAATACACCACAGAAAACAGATAATTACTTCTCACGACTGCTAAATTTTCCCAGAAGGGATAACTATTAAAATAAAAAATATGATTGACCTCAGATACCAATTTTTGTTATTTATTGAAGGACCATCAAAAGAATATGGCATGGCCTACTTCTTAAGAAACCAAAAACCTTTGTGGGAAGGAAAGATTCCGGGTGTTGGCTGATGTCTACTCTGAGCTGGATTATAGGTATTTAGGAAAGCTGAAACATAAAAGCAAAATATATCCTTCTCTAATCTCTCTCTCTTGACATCTTTCTAAAGTCCAACAATCTTATTTGTGGGCTTAATTATATCCTCTTCTGTCTCTCAAGATTATTTCCCATCAGTCATCTTTATTCTTTCTACCATCTTCAGGATGATTTAATTTAACCCTCGCCTTCGACAGGCTTATATTTTTTCCTGTTCTCCAAATGTCCTTCACCAAATTCTTAAATTACTGACCTTTCTCTGCTCTTCTTTGCAAATTCTAAACCACATTTGTTATTTTACTTCTTTCTCTTTCCATTATCTTCTAAATATCTTGCAGTTTAGAGTATTATCTCATTACTCTATTTGCACAACATTTTTCTAGGACCAGCAGTGAAGTTATAATTATTCTATCAGTTATTTTCTCAATTGGTAGCCAAAAAACTATTGGGCAAGTGGGTTGTATAGTGATGGGTGTGAGTTCTAGGATTAGATATCCTAGGTTCAGATTTTAGTTTCTTGACCGCCTGTGTGTTTGTGGGCAATTATTTACCATGCTATCTTCTGTACAAGGGTAAAATAATAGTTGTGCTTGAAAGAATTGTTTTAAGGATTATATGAATATAAATAATCAACAAACAATTTTCAGTGCATAAAGGTGCACATGAAAAACAACACTTTTAAAGTATTTTTATTGTGTTTGGGAAGCAAAGGGATGAAAAGTGTTTCAAGAAAATGTAGATGACATATAGATGACAGTTATAGGTTGACTTGTGTTCCCTCAAAAGATATGTTGAAGTCCTAGCCCTTAATACCTGTGAACGTGACCTTATTTGAAAATAGGTTCTTTATGGTTGCAATTAAGATGTAAATTAACATGAG